AAAAAAAAAAGGGGAAACAGAACCATCAAATTGAAGGGTCAGCTTTTGTTACAGCCATTGTCTGTACTTCCAATACAAATCACTACAATCAACATAAGAAGATTAATAATTCCTTTCTTGTTTCCTGTTTCCATTTGGCGATGACAAATGCGTACTACTGTCTAAATCTTAGTCGTCGCGAAACAAGGATACAGGGCATCGCCGCACCACTCTCGAACTGTGAAAAATGAGAACGAACTTCCCGCTAGAACATGGACAGATGCACCTGCCACATTTTTGTCTTTTTCATATTTCGAGAGCGATGCGGCGAGACCCACGGAGTTCTCAGAATTCCAAACTGTCAACTGAGCGGCGGGAACCATTCTCATCGGCTACAGTACTCATGTCTACTTTCAACTACGAAAGTGATCAAACAATGTCAGAGCAGTGCTGATTGAACACAACTAACCATAGGGTCCATAGCGTATGGGGACAACTACTACTAGAACAGGCACACAGCCCGCCAAGGTGGAGAAAAAAGGCCCTATGGAGACTCACGAGCTTTGGCGCTTGTGTTGTGTTCGGCTGTGGGAGTTCCGATGTCAAACCACCACTGTCCCCTGATGATCCGACAGGTCATGTTGTGTGTGTTTCCCAAAGATCCCCAAATTCTTTCCACATTCCAACCACAAATCATCAACATCCATAAAACAGACAGTCGTAGATTGGCAATATATTAGAAGATGCAAGGTTGGTTGCCCACATTTGTGTGGTTAACGCACCTGTACACCGCATATCGGCCTGCGGGTGTCAGCATAAAACCCGCACCACTTCGGAGGCCGCCGATTTTTTTTTTCAACGACGGGCCTGGCCGCGTGCCTCCGCCAATTTTTTTTTTCAACGGCGGGCCTGGCCGCGCGCCGCCTCCGAGTTTTGCTTGTGGCGACAAAAACTTTCTGCAAGGCTGGGGCCGTGTACTAGCGGTTTAAGCGGCAAGTACCCACACACCCGTCTGCCGCCGGTTAAGGGAGTCAATGGCATATAAGGGCAAAGCACTGGCCCTAATACTATTCATCTCACACAACTCACTCATGTCACTGTCATCTCCATCATCACTCCATGGCTAGACAACCTCTCTGGCCCTTGGAGTGTATAGACTCCAACACAACAACAACAAAAAAAAAAAAAAGTTGCACCACAACACAAACGGCTCCACTAACAAGAAAGCACCGACCACGCTGCAAATGGTCTGAAAAAACTTAGAGATCCCTTTGTGTGAGCCCACAAAGCCACCATAAAAATCATACCAAACTCTCACAAGATCTCAGCACAACACCAGGAGTACTACTGCTTAGAACGCCCTGAACGCACCCGTTTCTTCTTTCTTTCTCCAAGACCACTACCACTGTTCTTCTCTGCCATGTCTTCCACCGACTTCCTCTTCTTATCACTAACAACCTTTGGAAGTCCTTCCTTTCCACTACTACTACGTGCATTGTATTCCTCCTTTTCGCTCTTGCCTTCCTCGCCCCTACTATGCACGTTGCATTCCGCCTTTCTGCTTCTCCCCCTCTCCAGCGCATGCATCTCCCCATCCGAGTGTTCTTTCCTCTGATGTTCCAATTGCATTTTCCCCCTGCCATCTTCGCTCACTATCTCACAATTGCCCCTCAGGTCAACCCTGAACACAGTTGTGCCTCGGAGAAACCGCTCTTTTTCTCTCTGATTAACCATGTTCTTCTGCTCTGCTGGTTTCCCAGCCGGTGATTGCAGATGTGCCAGGGGCTGCTGCTGACCTGTCATCTTCCGAAAGTGGATGACCGAAGCAATGCCTTGCCCTGGGACTGTTATTGGAACAGCTTTCTGCAGCTTCCCGCATCCGTCCTCGTTCAGGCACCCTCTTATTTGCGAAAAGGCCAATTCCGTATCCTTTACTGTTTTAAAAGACACGTAAGTTGTACCGAACCCCTTGGTGCTCCATTTGATCTGCTCAACCTTGCAGGCGAAGCCCGAGGGAATAACCGCTTGGATTGCACTCTCGGAGACGCCTTTGAGTATCCTGTGAACAAATAGCTTTCTCTGGTCTTCCTCTGACACCGTCTCAGCTGCCACACCTAGCAATGGTGTTGGCCCGTTGGCGAGTTCATGCAGCACAAGTTTCATAGGTATGATAGCATCCTGCAGGCAGTCGTGGACCTTGGAGCTACCGTCCCTCATCGTCTCCTTAAGAAGCGTCTTGCACACGAGCGACAACCCTGGCACCGCTTGCTCCATGTCCTTGAATCGGAACAACAACGACGTGTCGATCACTCGCGCGTGGTCGATCTTCAGAGCTCTCAGATCATGATGCAGACCATGGCCTATCAGAATCGTTCCCGGCGTGAGTAGAGCCGCCATCCGCGACTGCAATTCTAGAAAGGAGACGATTCCATCTTTACCGAGATTCTCCGCGTTGATACCCGTGAACTCCGTGCAGTAATCGCCAACTTCTAGTGTCGGTCTCACGTCCGTGCTGAGGAGAACATTCAAGTCCCTGTCAACCACACAGGCTTTTATTACTTCTTTGACACCATCAACACTCAGACACATTTCACAATCCAATGAGATCAGCCTCTCAGGCTTGCAGAACTGCTTTGTTGCACCGCGCCCGCTCACTATCCAGCCCGGGGCATGCGACGGCAAGTCGTAGGTCTTGCGGTACACAGGATGGGCCCTCGTGCGCAGCACAAGCCTCTGTTCCGCGGTATCGGGACACTGGTCTGTTCTGTCCATCTCCTCTGCAGCCTTTCTCTTTGCAAACCATTTCTTCAACCGCCTTATCAACTTGACGCTCGGCACTCCCGTCAAGGTACCGATGAATCCTGCAAGGACCTCCCACGAGTGCGCAGCAGGATTGAACTTGCTGGATTTTGCCACCGTCTCCAAATACAAATGCCAGTCCCCAGCGGATCCCTGACACTTGGCCTTCTGTATCTCCTTGACCAAAAAGACAAGCAGTTCTTTATCATTCGCAGTGAAATTCCTCAGATTCTGGTTCGGCAGAGCTGCACTTGCTTCCTCCGCGCCTCCCGACTCCTTCTCAGGGCATGGGCCGGCGTCCGCATCCTTGCCCCTGCCCATGTTATTCTGCAGAGAAATGCAAGGGGCACAAGGGATATCTGATGCCACAGGGCACCGCCGCACAACTTATCTTCCCAACATTTCACAAGGCCGAAGGTCCGTTTCTCCTTGGGGAAAGCCAGCCAAATGTGGCTTTAAAACATCAGTAAGAAAAAAAAACAGAAAAAAAGACAAAGTTCCGTTACGATCTATCTAAACGGAAAGCTCCATTATCCCCCTCCTCCTCCTCCTCCTCCTCCTCCTCCTCCTCCTCCTCCTCCACTGCTGGTGTCAACCCTTCCTATTATATCATTGGGGAGATCCCGAAGTAGTTGTCCTCCCTAACATGCAATGGTCTGAAAAGCCCATGATCTCTTTCTTTTTTAACAAAAGCAGAAGCCAGAGGCATTGGCTGTGCTGCTTTGGAGTTCCACTGTGCTTTTCGCTTAAGACAGTTCTCCTCCCTCAAGCGAAACCTCTCAAGAACAAGTTGAACAAGTTGCTGCTGGATGATGGAGGCACTACTTCTGCAGGCAACAATTTGAATCAATCACAGTGCGCGTTAACCATTTCAGAATTGCCCTGCACCCAAAAAGGATAAACGTACAAGCACCAATTTAGTCCGATCTTTCTTCAAAACTCCTCAAGGCAGCTGAGAGACCCAACCGCCGACCACTTCCTAGATACAAGGAACTGGCCTTGACTGAGAGATATCTTCATGGCATAGATTGAAGAAGGCCAAACTCATCACATGCCAACACCACCCTGGAGACACACATACATAGGATAAAGCAACAGACACGGATCAGATCTATCTCCGCACTCTTCGAAGACCCGAAGGACCTGACAAGCAACCACCAACGCAAGAAAATGACTACGATATATCTCCCCCCCCCTCCGTGGTTTCCCTCCCTCCCTCCCCCTCCCTCCCTCCCTTTCTCCCTCCACTTCTCTCTCACGTCCCCGTTTGTCGACCAATTGAGCTGGTTCCCCTCCCCCCGCCCCCTTTGGGATTGAACGGACACAGAGAAGATTAGCATGCTCCCGCACGGGTGAAACTCTTCGTTCTCCTGACGCTCTTCCTCCTCTTCACGTTCTTCTTCTTCCTCACTGTCTTCCAATCAATGTTCTCTTCCTCTTCGTCATGCTCTTCGTCCGCCGATGACTCGTTTTACTCGAGAATTTTAGCATGCCCCTCCGCTCCGCGGATGACACATGCGAACCTAGAAACCATACTTAGACTGTGTAACCCAATGATGCAGTTGCAAAACAGAACCCACTTCGAATATGCTCTTCCTCCTCTTCACGCACTTCTTCCTCAGTTTACCAATCGAAGTGCTCTTCCTCTTTGTGATGCTCTCTCCGTCCTCGTTAACTTCCCGCTCTTCCTCCTCCTAATGCTCTCCCGCTCTTCCTCCTCACGCTCTTCGTCCTCATCACGCACTGTTTCCTCGTCATGCTCTTCGACCTCAATCAGACCCCTCTCTCTCTCTCTCTCTCTCTCTCTCTCTCTCTCTCTCTCTCTCTCTCTCTCTCTCTCTCTCTCTCTCTCTCTCTCTCTCTCTCTCTCTCTCTCTCTCTCTCTCTCTCTCTCTCTCTCTCTCTCTCTCTCTCTCTCTCTCTCTCTCTCTCTCTCTGTGTGTGTGTGTGTGTGTGTGTGTGTGTGTGTGTGTGTGTGCGTATAGATATCCCCTCCCTCCCCCTTCGCTTGACCTCTTCCCTCTTCCTCCTTTCTGCCCTGCCTCAACCCTACTTCTCCCTGCCTCCTTTCCCGTTCCTCCGGACCTCCTGCTCTTCAACCTCCATCTGACCTTCCTCCGCCTGGCCACCTCCCTCCGCTTTTTTCGCACAATCTCCGCCTGACCTCCTCCTTCCCCCGATCTTCTCCCTTTCCTTCCTCCTCTGCCCGATTCGCACTGACCTCCTCCTTCCCCCGACCTGATTCCTCCCCTCCCTTCCCCGGCCCCATGTCCACCTGACCTCCTCCCTCCATTCCTCCCTCCGCCCGATGTCCTGCCTCCCTCCTTTCTCCCTCCGACCAGCCTGCCTTCTTTCGAAACGCCCGACCTAAGAAGAGCATTTCATTTTCTTTCATTTTCCGGTGGACGGAAGGGCTGCGCGCAAAAAAGAGAGAGGAAGAAGGGGAGAGAGAGAAGAGGAGACATTTGACCTCACACTCTACCTCCTCCACATCCTCCTCACGCTCTTCCTTCCTTGCACCTTCTGTTTCGTCTGTTTCGTCGGTCTCTTCCAGCACCCAACGCATGTCTCCCGCCTCCTCAAGCTATTCCTCGTTAACATTCTCCCTCGCTCTTTCAGGGTGGGCTTACCAATAATCATCCAATTGACCGGCGCCAGGTATTTCAAGCTATCGATAATTCTTTTCCCAGGTTTTTCACGCTCTTTCCCGCCACACCGACTCTCTCTCTCTCTCTCTCTTGTCACACTGTGAATCGGAGCGCAAAGGCGGAAAAAGACAACAAGAAAAGGAAAAGAAGGGAGGAAGGAAGGAAGGAAAGCCCCACCTGTTCATCACCTCTTACGTACAAGGCCAGCCACGTGGATGGCTGGCCCCATCCCCGTGTGTCACAAGGACCCCCCACTTGTACGCACGCAGCCAAAAGGCAAAAAAGAGGTAAAGAAAAGGAGGAGGAAACCAAACCTCACAGAGGCAAGAGAAAAAAGAGAAAGGGATCCCTTTGTCAAAGAAAGAAAGGACAAGGGAAGAGGAAGAGGAAGAGGAAGAGGAAGGTCTATCAGTCAGTCAAACAAAGCAAATGACACACATCCCACAGATAAACCAATTGTCACTGTCACAACAAA